GAGCAGCCCCAAGCACCGCAACTGATCCAAAACACCCACTTGGTTGTTGTTTTTTTTTGGGGGGGGGGGTCACCAGGTTTACTCCTGGCTCTGCACTCTGGAATTACCCCTAGTGCTGCTCGGGGGACCATATGAGATGCTGGGAATTGAACCCCAGTTGGCCGTGTGCAAGGCAAACGCCCTACCCACTGTACTATCACTCCAGCCCCACCCACTCGACTTGGAACCCCTGCTTTCCACCTCCAAGGACAGGGCTGCCCACCCCTACCCCTCACCAGCACACAGCCCACCATGCAGGTCACATGCACGGGAAGGGTCCAGCCCCCAAGTATGAGGTCCCTGGGTATGAAGGGGCCAGGGCCTGGTCTGGCTAGCCCTTGGGTCTGCTTGAGCCTTTAGGTGCATACTGGAGTCTAAGTCATGGCACCATAAAAAGGGATTAAGGGAAATAGAATCAGTTCTGACACTGATGCACGCCTCCCTCACTGAGTGCTGCTTCCGGGACCTGGAGTTGGGACTCCATAAAGGTGAGGATCAAGGTCTGGCGGCATCCAGCTCAGGGTGAGGCACTGGGCTGTGGAAGAGGCACCTCTCACCTTTGAAGTCTCCCTTTCCGGGACTGAAGACAGCGCCGGGGCCCCAGGGTCAGGGTGCGTCTGACCTGGAGCCCAAGAGGCTGTTCGGCTCCACGCCCCATTCAAGAACAGACCTCAAGGGGCTGGAGCCATAGGACAGCGGGGAGGACTCGAGGTTCCACCCCAGCATCCCCTGTGGTCCCCCAAGCCCTGCCAGGAATGATCCCTTGAGCACCACTGGTATGACCGCCCCAAAAAAGGCCCCCGAAAAGCAGACCTGATTGACATGTCCCGTGCCCGGGGGGCTCTCCCAAACAGATCAGTTTTCAGACACCTCCTGGACAGGCCACCAGCCACCTGCCTCGACCCTTAGTTGCCTCACCTCATTTGTCACCTTGTGGCCACCTCCACTAGCCAAAGGAACTGTGACCCCATCTGCAAGGTCCCCACCTACTCCTTTCAGCCTCCTGGCTGCCTTGCTGTCCCTGGCCATGCCCCCTGCATCTCTGCTCACCGTTGCAGCCCCTAGTGGATGTGGCCCTAGGTGCCCTATCTGCTCACCCCCCAGGCTGGCCCACCCCTTCATTTAATTTCTCTCCCAGGCCCACCTCCCTGCTGTGCTGTGCAATACCAACCCTCAGACAGAGAGTGAGTGCCCAGGGCAGACCTGCACACAGCTCCCCCCTGCCCCCCCAGAACAGAGCCTGGCACCCGTAGAGATCTACTCTGAGAAAATATGAATGAATGAATGAATGAATGAAGGCATGCACACACATGGCAATGAATGAATGAGCAGTAGAGAGACCCGCGGCTGCATTGCTCTCTCCAGCCCCAGGCCTCTCTCTGCATGCTGTTGCAGCAGGGGGTCCCCATGGGTCCCCCAGAGCTGGCCAGCAAGCTGGCCCTTATGGCCCCTGCTCCCCGACCCCGGGACCTGCGGGGTGAGGGGTCGGGTGGGGGAGCTAGCAAGATGGAAAGCAGGGCGAAGGCATCTGCGGGAGAGGGGGCTCAGCGGTCAGTCAGACCGAGGCCAGGCTCAGGAATGGACAGGGAGGACAGCTGGCCCAGAGCAAGCAGCCCCGGGGTGGGGGGGAGTGAGCAGCGTAGGGGCAGGGGGCAGTGCCTGGGGAGGGGGTGAGCACCGGCATTGAAGGAGCTGAAGGGGCCGCAGGCGGCGGGCGCGGGCAGGGGCCGGGCATCCGTGGGCTGGCTGGGCTGCAGCATGGCCGCTGAGGCGGAGGGTGGGGCCGGGCCGCTGCTGGCCGTGGCTGTGGCCGTGGCCATGGCGCGTGCAGGGGACGACTGGGAGGCGCTGGCCGGGCCCTTTGGGGCAGTGCTGGCTGCTGGCTGCCCCTTCTGGGCCTGGTGAAGGGGGCAGAGGCGCTGGCGCAGGGGGCCGGGAGGTGGGGCCGGGGGCTGCCGCTGCTGCAGCACAGGGCCCTGGGGAACCCAGCGGCAGCCCCCCCAGGGCCCGAGGTAGGCCAGCTGCCAACAGGCCTGGGGGGGTGGCCGGCAGGGCCCGTGGGCTCGCTGGTGGCAGCATCCTGGAAGGAAGGAAGTGGGGGATACTGGGCCTGGGTTCCTGGGCCTGGGCGCCCGAGTTGGGGAAGGCAGAGGGAACCGGGCCACCCCAGGTGCCCAGTGTCCCCCACAGTGGGCATCAGCTTGGTGACTCGCTGGCCTGCTGGGCCCAGAGGGGCATGGAGGGGCCAGCAGGCACTGGAGGAGGGGTCCTCATACTGGGGCCAGGCTGGCCGGAGGAGGCTCAGTCAAAAGCACCCACAGGCTCCCCTGGAAGCCCCCATCTGTTCCTGCACCCTCGGCAGGGCACACGAGGGGCTTCCTCTCCCGTCCCCCCTCCAGCGACCCCAGGTCAGGGGATAAGCACTCAGTCTGGGAGGGCAGTTTCCTCATGGGGATCCCCCCTTGGCCCTGTGGGCCCTGCAGAAACCCTTTGGAGGGGACATGTGCCTCCTCTCCTGGGGTCTGCGGCCCTGCTCAGCGACCACCCCCCCCCCCGTCGGCCCTGCAGAGGGGCCGCCCGCCCCCCCCCAGCCCCCCACCTCCCGAACAGACTGAGCTCCTACCTTTCCGCTGTCCCAGCTCCTGGTCCAGGAAGCAGTGCTCGGCGGGGGTGCGGGCCGGCCGGGTGCCCTTGGCTGAGTGCACGGTGTAGTGTTTGTGCATGGCGGGGCGGCTGCTGGGGGGGCGCAGAGATGCAGTTCAGCATCCAGCCACCCCACGGCCCCTGGACAGCCCCATGTTGGGGTCCTGGGTCAGCCAGGTGAGGAAAGGTGCTTCTCAGAGTTAACTCTGGGAGGTTGGTGTTCAGGAGGTTCTCCCGGGGGAGCCCCCAGGACTTCTTACAAGAGGCCAACACTAGGGGAGGGCTGAGAGATGTGGGAGCCGGCAGGGCAGCTGGGCGGAAAGAAGGAAGCAGAGGTCTGGGGTTTGGGGTGCCGGAGTGGGGGGGTGCTCAGCGCCGGGCATCTATGGGGACAGATTGAGGGAGGGAGGAAAGTTGGGGTACACTGGTAAAAATGGAGTGAGGCTGGCCGGCTAGGTGGGGTGGGGGGGTTTAGGATGTGAGCCCCAAGCACCCAGGGGTGGATGTTGCTAGGAAGACGGGGGGAGGGGGGGCAGAGGAAATCGGGAAGAGGGTGAGAGCCTGAGCTGGGGGTCCCCCCACCCCGGCATCCCCACCCCGGCCGACTCCGTACCTGAGGGTGGCCTGTGGCCCCGGCTCCAGCGCCGGAGCTGCTGGGCCCCAGCGCGCAGGCCCAGAGGGAGCCCCACCAGACCGGTTTGCCGGCCCCGCCTCCTCCCCCCGCCCAATCTGCTCTCTAGGACTGGGGTTGAGGAGGGCGGGGGTGTCCAGGTGAAGGATGCCGCAGGTAAGGGACAGAGAGACCTGCCCGGGGAGGGCCACTTCGTGGCTCTGGGGGCTGTGGCACTAGCGGCACCAGTCCCGGCCAAGGGGCCCTTGGAGGACAGAAACCAGGAGACTCAGAGTCCAGCGGCTCAGCGCCCAGCTGTGTGACCCTCGGCAGGTGACTTCACCTCTCTGGGCATCGGCTTCCTCATTGCTGAGCCACGCGACCGGCTGCCTGACCCACTTCCCTGCTCCTGGGGCCTTCCGGTGAGGCCTGCGTGTAGGAAGCACCCCCATACACAGAGCCCTGCTTCCAACACACTCCACCTCCTCCGCACCCCAGAGGGGCGAGTGGGGGGCACGGGGCGGGGGGGGGACAGCTAGGTCCCTGAGGAGGTGACTGAGTCCCATAGAGGCGAAGGCCCTGCCCAGGGTCCAGGGCACTCTGAAGGCGGGGGGGGGGGGGTGTCTGCTCTGCCCACCTTCTGGAACATTCTCCCAGAGGAGGGGGCCGGTGGCTTGGGGGGACTACAACCCCCTGCAGCTGCTGGTGCCATGGGGCCCACGAAGCACACATGGTGAGTTGAGGGGCACCTGGCAGGGGAAGAAGGAACCATGCCTGAATGCTGATCCCACCCCCAGGACTGCTGGAACAAGTGGGGCGAGCGGGGGAGGGGGGGCGGGGGGGAGGGACCGGGAATGCTCCAGGCTGAACCCTGAGCTGCTGAGGGAGCGTCACTCACTCCACTCTGCACCAGCAGCACTGAAGGTGCAGGGAAGGCACAGCGGGCAAAGGGTTGTGGGGGGCAGATATTTCCTCATAGCAGCTGGGGGGCCCCCAGTCAGCGTAATGCCCCGAGGCAGGCTACTTACCCAGCAGGGCAGCAGGCGGTGGGGGGCAGGGGCCCCCAGATGCTGGGAATAAAGACGGGGAAGGTGACGGTGGGGCGTGGTAAGGACAGGTGCCGGCAGCCGGTCACGGTGCTGCGAGGACTCGGGTCAGTGCCACACGTGAAGTGTGAGGGGTCGGTGGGCAGGGTGTCTGGCTGGCCCTCCCTGTCCATCTGTCCATCCATCCAACCCCCACCTGCCCCTATCAACCTCGGCTACCCCCCCACTTTCCCCCCCCGCGGGGGGGTCCAGGCGCCACAGCGTGCCTGAGGAGAGGTTGGCCCCAGACTTGTTGGTGCTCGCAGAGCTGCCAGGGCCAGGGGGAGGGGACCCCCGAAGGTGTGCAGGTGGGAGGGGTGTCCAGAACCAGGGCTCTGGCCGGGGGGAGGGGGTCAGGTGGGAGGTGGGGGAGCCTCACAGAACGTGTTCCCTCCTCTCCCCTGCAGATGGGGGCAGCCCGTCACTTCCCTTCCCCCACCCAGTCACCCACCACTCGGAACTGGGGTTCAAAGTCTTTATTATAAACTATAAACACCGCCCCCCCAGCCCTCCCACCACCCCTCCCCATGACACCCATTTATGGGAACACATGGGACGCCCCAGCAGATGCGCCCCCCACCCCACCCCATCTTGCTTGTCTCTGGGGACTCCCCAGCCCATAGATCACCCCCGAAGGCAGCAGCAGCCGGGCTTGGCAGGTATGCAGGGGTGCCGTCAGGATTTCTGGATCAGCACCTGGAACTTACCTGGAAGAGAAGGGATGACTTGAGCTGAGCCGGGAGCTGGAAGGCGAAGCAGCCGGCACCCCTGGCCTCCGAGCTGTTCCTCCTGCCCTCCTGCCCGGGGGCCACGCTGCTTCCTCTCAGCTCAAAAGACCTGAGGCTCCCCGCCCACCTGACCTGCATCCCGGGGGAGCTGGGGTATCAAGGTCATGCAGGCCGGTGGGGCGGGGCCTGCGCTGAAGCCCCGCCCCCGGGGCCGGGGAGGACCAAACCCACAGATGAACGGAGGCTGCAGGCTGCCCCCCAGCGCAGGAATACGACCCAAGGAGGGCCTGGGGGGTCAGGCATCCTGTGGACAGCTGTGGATTCCCGGGCTGACCCCTCCAGGGAGGGGGGGTGGGTGGCACATTAGGGGGCCTGGGCAGGCTGTGGCTGGTTCTCTGGGGCACTGCCCCACGGGATGGGGATGTGGGGATCCCCCCCCCCGACTCACAGGCGGGCAGGGCGGCCACGGAGGCGCTGACCAGACTCTCGATGCCCAGGGTGCTGAGGGCGCCACGGAGCAGGCCACAGGGGAAGGCCAGGAACTGGGGGGCAGGGGGCGGGGGAGCAACACAGGTCACCATCCATGGGGGTGGGGGGGCAGAGCCACCAGGGACTGTGGGGATGGGGGGTGGCATGTGCTGGAGGAAGCCCTGCACCCCCGTACCTTGGGGGCCTCCTCCACGTATTGGGAGCCCGCGGCCATCCGCACCAGGAGGGGGAAGCAGTTGTCCTGTAGAATGTAAGTCCCCTGGGGGCGCAGGAGAGGCCTATGGGGGCTGGCGGGCAGCGGTGCACCCCCACCCTGAGTCCCTCCGCACCCAGGCGACTTCTGCCCAAGGTCACGAGAATCTCGGGACCCCCTCCCCCCAACGCGTGGGCGTCTAAGGGGCACGCGGCCGCACCTGGTGGTTGGTGCGCAGACTGTCCATCTGCTTCTGGAACAGCGCCACCCACAGGTCTTTGCACAGGAACTTGAGCACATCCAGCTCCTCCCTGAGGGCCAGCATCTCCCGGGACAGCCTGGGGGAGCCGGGCAGATGCAACAGACGCGGGGGACCCAGGGAAGAGCCGGAAGCCAGGCTCCGACACCCCCCATCCCCGCCCAGTGGGTGGGTGCCACTCACCTCTCCCCCAGGGCCTGGCCCACACGGAAGCCCACGCCCTCCAGCACGGCCAGGTTCAGCTTCACTCCCTAGAAGGCGAGGAGAAAGCTCAGGGGGCTTGTCACCCCGCCAGGGGGGCCCCCAGTGCATCATGAAGGCCCGGGCATCCCACCTCCCTGGGTGCCAGGCTGACTTAGCCCCCAGAACTAGTTAAGAGGGGGCAAGAGTCTCCCCCAGGCTGTTTTACCCTGACTCCTCCAGAGTGACACCATATCGCCTATCAGTGTGACCCCTCACAGCACCCTGTGGTCCCATAAGCCTCCTGGGACGTGTCTAAGGCCTTCTGTGATGTCCAGGACACTGGCCAGAGCCAAGAATCCCTCCAGGTGAGGGCCTGGCTGAGGGGACTGGAAATTTCAACCGTGATCATGGCACCTTGGGACTGTGGCTCAGAGCCTGGGAGGGACATAGGCAGGCAGGGTGCCCTGGAGGAGGGGTGGAGTGCCAGGGAACAGCAGGGGACCCCACTGGGGGGCTGGCCTGGCTCGGGCTGGCCATGCCACCTGTCCACGCTCAGGAACATGAGACCATACATGGTGCCAGGGATCCAACCTGGATGCTGTGTGCAGTGAAGGCATCAAGTGTCCCCCCTGCCGTCCATTCTCTCAGCCCTTACCTGGGTGAGAGTCCCGTCTCGGGGCATCCTGAATGCCAGGTGGGAAGGCTGAGAAACGGGGGCTTGCAGAGTGCAAGGGAGGCCAGAAGCTGGCTGAGCCCCCCACCATCTCCCCACAATCCTCTGGGGCACAGCCCAGGGACAGCTTCCTGCACCCAGTATCCCCCCCCAACCCTGCCACCTTGCCGTGTCCCCAACAGGCTCTCTGGACCCTCCTCTCCCAGGTCCCCCTGCCCTACCACCGGGAGATGAAGGGATTGGGCTGCTGGCCGGGATGGCGGCGGGTGGTCCCAGGCAGAGCCTGGATCTGAGCAGACATGTCTGAGGTGGCGAGTCAGCCGTGCCCCGGTGACAGCAGTGCTGGGGCCTGGGTAGCACTCACACCCAGGGAGGGACGAGGGGGCCAAGAGGAGACCACCCCAGCACCCAAGCCGCGGTGGGGGGAGGGGGTCTGGACACAGATGATACAAAGTTCAGGGCCGGGCCACCCGTCTGTCTGCGGGGCTGGGGTGATGACACAGCTTCCGGCAGGTCCCTCCCGCCACTGTTCTGAGGTTTCCTCAGAGCATCTGTGACTCAGCTGCATGGGGAGGGGGCCATGAGCCTGGTGGCCCAGATCCACCCGTCACCATGGATGGGTGGACAGGCCTATGGCCAGCTGCCCCGGGACTTGGCTTCCTCAGGGGAGGGGTGTCTGATGCAGCCATGTTTGGAGAGGGCCCGCAGCAGTGCTCGGGACAGAATAGGGGGTCTCACACATCCCAGGCACATGGACCCTACTCGTCAGCCCCATTTGGGCCCTCATTGGCCTCCTGAGACGGCCCCTCCCACGCAACCCGCAGGGGGTCTCAAAGCGAGGAAGGGGCCCAGGTTCAGGGGACCCCCAGGCTGGAGACTCTGAGAATGTCCCCCGGTTCCTGGGTCCCTCGACCTGGGTTTGCACCCCTGCTGCACTGCTTACCGGGGGAGGGGACCCCAAACAAACACCCTCATGATCTTGAGCCTCAGTGTCCCCACAGGTGGGACAGGGCTGGGACAGTCCTTGCCTCGCAGGGCCGGTGTGCCCGGCCCTGGGTGGGGGATATCAACCCATTGACAGATGGGGGGAGATCACGGGAAAAGGGTGTCACCTGCCGTGCCCTCCCATGGGGAGTCCTCCCTCTGGGGTGCTCACGCCCAGCCCCTCGGCAGCTGTCTGGGGATTAGGGGTTCATCATCCTGGGGCGGGCAGGCCTCACCCATTTGCTGAGTGCTTGCACAAGAGCCCAGCCCAGAGTCGGGGTGCTTGGGGGCTCCCCATGCAGCACCCTGCGGAGACGCACCACCAGAAACCCCCGGGAGAGTCACTGGAGCATAAACTGGGGGCAAATCGAAGGCCCAGGGGTGGGGCTGCGGGCTGAGAGCTAATACAGGCTGGAGGGTGCATCTTGTATGTGATTATGTGCTGAACCATTTTCCCTCTCGAGCACCCCACGGTCCCCCTGAGCAGGCCCTGAGCAGCTGGGGGGCCGGGAGTGAGGAGAAAGGCTCCGAGCGGGGCCTGAGAGCCGCCACACCTCTCCTAGAGCCTCCTGTGACCCCCCGCCTCCACCCTCAGGACACTGCCCCCTACTCCCACTCCTGGTCGGGTTCCCTAGTGCCTTTGCGCTGTCCCCCAAGGATCCCTGGACTTCTGGCCTGAGGACAAGGACTGTGCCTCCTGGCTTCTGCCTCCTCCCCCGCTAGGGCCTGCTGGGGGGCTGTCCCTGGGCCACTGGTGCCTTTGCCATCAGGGACCCAGATTTGGGAGTCGGTGAGGTTCTGAAGCACTGCTGAGACTCCTGGGGCCTTTCCCCATCTGGGGAGCCTGTGCTGTGGGGAGGGATGTGGGGGGACCCCGTTCCTCCAGGGCTAAGCCTTGAGCGGGAAACCCCTCTCCTGCAGGTGCCCGAGCCTCTGCGGACCGGGGTACGGGGCTGCACCCACTTCTCTGAACAAGCCCTGAGCTCCAACCGCGCAGTTATCCGACTTAGGGAGGGGGAGTGTTCCCCATTCTAGTGAATGTAGAAGGGAGACCCTGGAAATGGGGGGACGATGGGGACTGTGAGAATGTAAGCAGGTAACCACAGTCTGAAGGAGACAGAGGATGAGCAGGTGAATGGGAGGCTGGTGAATGCAAGGGCAGAGGAGGGAGGGGCCCTGGGGAACCCTGCAGACAAATGAGGCAAAACCTGGCGAGTGCTGAGTGTGCAAGAGAGAGCTAGCACAGGGGTGAAGGCACTGGCCTTGCAGGTATGGAGTCCCACTTCAATCCCTCAGAGCCAGGAATAGTGCCAGCGCACCACCGGATGTAGCCCAAATTCCAATACTCCCCCCCCTCAAAAGGGACATGACAACATAACAAGGACTCTAATATCTTTTTTTTGGGGGGGGGAGGGGGTTTAGGTCACATCCGGTAATGTTCAGGACTTACTCCTGGCTCTGCACTCAGGAATCACTCCTGGTGGTGCTCAGGGGACCATATGGGATGCTGGGGATCGAACCTGGGTTGACCCTGCTGTACTATCATGCTGGTCCCCAGGACTCTAATTTTTGGTTTGAAAGCCAAGATGGGTGGTATGTGGAGATACTGCAAGTCTCACCCCCAACACAAACCCTTCCCCTACTTTATTCCGCCCAATATTTTCTCAATCTACTCTGCATTTGACTCGAGAACCACCTGTCTCCCACCTCTACCTAATAACCCAAGTTTCTGGCAGACAGGTTTCTTTTTTTTCTCCCTTTTTCGGTCACACTGGTAATGCTCAGGGGTTACTCCTGCTTCTACACACAGGAATTACTCCTGGTGGTGCTCAGGGGACCATACAGAATTCTGGGGGTCAAACTTGGGTCGGCCACGTGCAAAGCAAATGCCAAACCAGCTGTACTATCGCTCTGCCCTGAGGACAAGGATTTTTGCCCGCTTCTATGATAATCCCCAGAGCCTAGAGAGAAGCCTAGCACCTCCCAAGTTTTAATTAAAACTGTCAGCTGAGGGGCCAAAGCCATAGTACAGCTGGGAGGGCGTTTCCTTTGCACATGGCCGAACAAGGTTCAATCCCTGGCACCCTGTGCGGTCCCCTGAGGACTACCAGGAACGATCCCTGAGCCCAGAGCCAGGAGTAAGCCCTAAGCACTGCCAGGTGTGCCGCCCCCTCCCCCCACACCCCCAAATCTGCCCGATGACGGGACAGGAGAGATAGGACAGGATTAAGGTGCTTGCCTAGCCCGCGGCCAAAGTGACCCCTGAGTACAAAGCGAGGAGTAAGCCCTGAGCACTACGGGGTGTCCAAAACAAACACAACATTTGTACTGGCTGTTTAGTTCCCTGAGGAAGGTGTTGGGGCCTGAGTCAGTAGGTTTTTAATCTTGCATATCACTGACCCGGGTTCGATCCCCAGCACCCCATATGGTCCCCCCAGGCACCGCCAGGAGTAATCCCTGTGCTTCTCCAAGTGTGACTCAAACCCCTCTTCTCCCCCAAAAAACCTAGAGAGGGTATTGCTACTGCATCTCAACATAAAGTTTCTTCCAAGTTCATTCATTGTACAAACTTGATTTTTTGTTGAATGAATCAGCGTCCCATTCCAAGACTCGGACGCAATCACGATGCCCCTCATACGAGAGGACACCAAGGCACTGACAGACGGGGCGGGACGGGCTCTGACACCCACTGGGCGGGGCGGTCGCGACTCAACCCAGGCGGCGGTCAAACATCAAGGTCACAAAGGGCTGACCCAGGGCCACTCAATGAGCGAAGGGCCCCCCCTCCACTCCCTCCGTGGTCCGTCTCCCTCCATTCTAGCCCCCATCCGCGAGGCTCGCCCCGCGGCCACCCCCACTTCGAGGAGGAGCCGACCGGGCGGGGGCGGGGCCGGGGTTCCCTTCCGACCTCCGGCCCGTCTTCCGCGTTGTTGCCTGGGGTCTCGACCTGACCTTCCCGCGGCAGCCCCTGTCCCCAGCCTCCGGGTCCCGGCGCTCACCCCCGGGCCGGGGTCAGGATCGTGCGCGCAGAGCTCCGCCACCATCTCTGTGTGCAGAAACTCGAACAACGTGCCGTCCGCCATGCACTAGCTTCGCGCGCGCCTAGCGACGGCCGCGCGCTCCCGGCTCTCATTGGCCCGTCCGGGCCCGCCTCCTCCCGCTGCCATTGGTGGCTCGGGCTAGCCCCGCCCCCTCCCTGGGCGCACGAGGTGCGCGCGTGAACGGGAACCACCCGGGGGCGGCCCCCTTCGGAGTCGGCTCGGGTTCCGGGTTCCCGGAGCGCTTCCATTGGTCAAGTCAATGGCGACACGTGACTTTCTGCTTTTTTTTTTATTTTAAATCCCCATTCGTCCACTACCGACCCTCGCCCCGGACGCGGCTACTAACGGCTCCCCTATTGGTCAGCCTGCTTCTCACGTGACCGCACGGAAGCGTTGCTTCCTGGTTGGCGGCCCCGCTCGGCAGGGATTGGCCACCAACGCCCGCACAAGCTGCTCTCTGATTGGCTGGGGCTGCACCTCCAGTTCCCCGGCAGGACCCGGCGCTTCGCCCGGAAGGCGGATTCCGTGTTCTCGGCGCTCCAGTGGCCCGGTATGGTCCGTGGTGCTAGCGCTCCCCCGCCCTCCCTAGAGTCCGCTGGACTGTCACCCTCTAAGTGACCCTGGTCTGATGCAAGTTCAGAGGCCGTGGCCTCCGTTCGGAGTTAAGTTGGGCCTCAGCTTCCCCGTGGGTCCATTCAATGGGTCCGGTAGTCCCCCTGGCGGGGAGGGACGACGCGCTTCATTTACACAACTGCTCCCGGGGTCGGGGAGCAGATCACTCCCGGTCGCGGATCGGGGCAAGAGATAGGGCCGGAGTTCAGGGGCTTCCCTGCAAGCCTCGAATCCCCCGCCCAGTAGAGCCCGGGGAGAACCCCCCCGTACCGGGGTTGCCCCCCCCAAAAAATAAAGCAGAGAAGCCTCCGGCCACCCGTGGGGGGTCTGGGGGTCGCGGCCGCGCCCCCGCTCACGCCGTGCCTTGCCTCTCCCCGCCAGCTCGCGCCATGGCATCCCGGGGTCGTCGGCGGAGGCCCGAGACCGTGGTCCCGGGGGAGGCGGCCGAGACGGACTCGGAGCTCTCTGCGTCCTCGTCGGAGGAGGAGCTGTACCTGGGCCCGTCGGGCCCCACGCGCTGCCGCCCCACGGGGCTGCGGGTGGCGGGGGAGGCCGCGGAGACCGACTCGGAGCCCGAGGCCGAAGCCGCGCCGCGGGACCTGCCGCCGCTCGTGGTGCAGCGGGAGCCGGCCGGGGAGGCGTGGGGCGCCGAGGAGCCCCCGGCCGCCGCCGCCGCGCCCGCGCGCTCGCTGCTGCAGCTGCGGCTCGCCGAAAGTCAGGCGCGGCTGGACCACGACGTGGCGGCCGCAGTGAGCGGCGTGTACCGCCGCGCCGGCCGCGACGTGGCCGCCCTGACCGCGCGCCTGGCGGCCGCGCAGGCCGCGGGCTTGGCGGCGGCGCACAGCGTGCGTCTGGCGCGCGGAGACCTCTGCGCCCTGGCCGAGCGCCTGGACATCGTGGCCGGCTGCCGCCTGCTGCCGGACATCCGCGGCGTGCCCGGGACCGAGCCCGAGCAGGAGCCGGGGCCGCGGGCCTAGCCGGGACCCCCAGCTCCGTTGGACTGCTCTCGGGGTCAGGGGTGGGATGGGGACGGGCCTTACAGCCCCTGGGACCTGGCTCTGGACCCTATGAAACCCTTGCGGCCGTCCTCAGGGCGCACCCAGCGCCTTGATTAATTCTCTGTGCAGTTTATTGGGGTTTGGAGATGGGGGAGTTGAGTTCACCCCCTGTGGCTCAGCCCCTTATGTCCAATGTCCAGTTCCTCCCCTTAGCCTGACCTTGCTGTGGGGTTTGGAGCCTGTCACCTAGGCGAAGCTCCTGGTTATATGTCTGTTGGGGGGGAGGGGGAGCGAGGGAGAGGTGTCATTCTCTGCTGCCTGGAATTTGGTTTATGCAGTTCAATTTCCCACAAACTAAGCAGGACCTCAGTGCATCTTCTTTACACCCTTCGTTCCTGCTCTGTGCCCAGCTCCATGTGGGGACTGACTGGGAACCCGAGCCTTCGTGGCCCCTGCCTGCCTTGGCCTCCCTCTGCCATCCCAGTGGCCTGGTCCCGCTGCCGGGCCTTCTTTCCTGGGACCCCAAGGATTGGTTTTGTGTCTTCCAGCTTTACCCAGCCTCTAACCTGCCTGATCCAGGGCTCCCCGTATCCCCCTCACCCTGCTAGGCCCAGGGTGGCATCTCCAGACCCAGGCGTGCCTTTGTCATGCTCCAAGCTCCTGGTGTGAGGTGGGTCTCCTGCCAGCTCTCCATGCAGAGAGTGTCATGGGTCAGACCCTGTCCCCTGCAGCCCATGATGGACAGCCGACCTGGCCTGCATGATTCCTACCACCTCTTTGCACAGATGGTGTTGGCCCCTGAATGCTTGAAGAATCCGGATCTGCCCAGCTCCTGGCATGGGGTCAGCCCAGTCTGCTCCTCCTACCTGCTCCCTTCTCTGTCACCAACTCTATCCCCTCTGTTCCATTCCCATACTTAATGCCCTGGCTGGGATCCTGGGCCCCCCTGCTTCCCCCATGATGGTTGGGAAGAGTGCTCTAGGGTAGAACCATTAGCGGGAGAGGAAGAAAGGGGTGGGCCAAGTGACTGTACAGCAGGTAGGGCCCTGCCTAGTGGCCAACCCATGTTCAGCCTCTCACACGGTGTCTCCTGCCTGACCAGGAGTGATCCCTGAGCACAGAGCCAGGAGTAGCTGCTGAGCACTGCTGGGCGTGACTCCCAAAACAAACAAATAAATGAATAATGAGTAAACAAATAAAACTCAGAATGTTCGCCCAAACTATCCAGGCCTTGGATTTCATCTGCGCGGAAGGGGCGGTGAGCAAGTTTGAGTCCCACTTTAAAAGTATAAATAGGAGGGACTGGAGTGATGGTACAGGGATGGGGTACTTGCCTTGTATGAGCCCAACCCAGGATTGTTTCCCAGCACCCCATATGGTCCCCAAATTCCTGTTAGGGTGATCCTGAGCATTCCTGGCTGTGACCCCTAGACAAAAGTAATGTAAATAAGTAAAAAAAAAAGCGAGTGAGAGTCCCAGGCCTAGGGAACAGGACAAAGACCCTGAGTTTGGGGCTGGAGTGATAGCACAGCAGGTAAGGTGTTTGCCTTGCACGCTGCCCGACCCAGGTTCGATTCCCAGCATCCCATATGGTCCCCTGAGCACGGCCAGGAGTAATTCCTGAGTTCATGAACCAGGAGTAACCCCTGTGCATCGCTGGGTGTGACCCAAAAAGCAAAAAAGACCCTGAGTTTGACAGAACCCTAAATGGTTTCTGCATCGGGAGGGGAGGGTGCCCTGGAGTTCTGAGGGCGGAGGAGAAATGTGGCGCCTGTCAGCAGGAAGCTGACAAAAATTGGACCTTGGATTAAAAAGTAAAGGTAAAGGCCCTCCCGTTGATCGTCGATTTACTCGAGCGGGCCCAGTAACGTCTCCATTGGAGACTTTGTTGTTACTGTGTTTGGCATATCGAATACATCACGGGTGGCTTGCCAGGCTCTGCCGTGCGGGCAAGATACTCTCGGTAGCTTGCCGGGCTCTCCGAGAGGGGCGCAGGAATCGAACTCGGGTCGGCCATGTTGGCTGCGTGCAAGGCAAACGCCCTACCACCGTGCTATCGCTCCAGGACCTTGGATTAAACCACAGAAAGATTCTTGGGACTGGAGTGAGAGTGGGCAGGGCATTTGCCTTGCTTAGTCCTATCTCTGCATTCAGGGATCACTTCTGGTGGGACTTGGGGGGACCATATGGAGTGCCAGGGATTTTTCTTTTTTCTTTTTCTTTTTTTTCTCTTTTTTTGGCTTTTTGGGCCACACACAATGAGGCTCAGGACTTGCTCCTGGTTCTGCACTCAGGAATTACTCCTGGATGGTGGTTGGGGAGCCCTTTGGGATGCTGGGAATTGAACCCTGGTTGGCCGCGTACAAGGCAAGAGCCCTCCCTACCTGTGGTACTATTGCTCTGGCCCCTGGAGTGTTGGATTTTAACAGCAGGACCTTGGAGCAAGGAGTTAGAGAAAAACAGTTTACTCCATTGAGACGGGTGCTTCAGAGAGTTTCACCCTCATTAAGAATGTGGAGGTGCAATCCTAAGAGGAGAGACAGAAGAAGAGTAACCACCATAGGGGTAGCCTGGGGGGGTGATGGGAGGGAACCTGGGGACACTGGTGCTGAGAAACGTACACTGGTGGAGGGATGGGTATTGGAACACTGTATGACTGAAACCTAATCATGAACAGTTTTGTAAGGGTCTATCTCACAGTGATTCAATTAAAAAAAAGTAAAATTAAAAACAATGTGGGGGTGGGAGGCCAGGTGATAGTACAGCGGGAGGGCTCTTGCTTTGCACATGACTGACCCGGATTTGATCTCCAGCATCCCCTGAGCATTGCCAGGAGGGATTCCCAAGTGCAGAGCCAGGAGTAACCCCTGAACATCACCAGGTGTGGCCCAAAAACAAACAAAAAAAGAATGTGGGAGGGGCCGGAGCAAGAGCACAGCTTGCACATGGCTGACGTGGGTTTGATCTCCGGCATCCCCCTGTCCCGCCAGGCATGATTCTTGAGTGCACAGCCAGGAGTAAGCCCTGAGCACTTCTGGGTGTAGCCCCCTGAAAAAATTTAAAGGTGGGAGGGCCAAAGCAATAGTACCTTGGGGAACGCACTTGCCTTGCATGCAGCCGACCTGGGTTCGATCCCCGGCATCCCATATGTTCCCCTGAATACCTTCATGACTAAACCCTAAGCCAGGAGTAAGCCCTGAGCACTGCTGAGTGTGGCCCAAAACAGCAACAAAAAAAGAGAGGGCTGGGGCATGGCGTCAGGCTCAGCGATAGAACGTTTGTCTTGCGTGTGTGAGAGACCCTGGGACCCATTCCCAGAACCACTGAAACAAAACAGAATGACTGGACCCTTGAGGGCGGAAGTTCCCCCTTTGGTCACTTAACCACAGGCCTCCTTTTGGCCCTCATTGGTGTTTAAATTTGGGTTTGGTATTTGGGTTTAGGGGCCACATCAGGAGGTGTTCAAGGCTTACTTGTGGCTCTCTGCTCTGGGATCACTCCTGGCACGCACAGGGGACCTTTTGCAATGGTGGGGATTGAATTGGGGTCATCCACATGCAAGGCTAGTGCCCTCGCTCCTGCCTCGTCATTTGCGGTTTGGATGGACACAGGGTTCAGGAAACCTCAAATCTAGAAAGGAGCTAGAGGGAGGCTCTGGATGCGACAAGGGACCACACCTTCCCAGGCCTCTTGCGGAATTACAACGGATTAAGGTCAAGTGCCTTAAATTTGTAATCCCAGACCAGCAAACCAGAGGTAATGGGATGACCTCACCGGGGCAGCCGCTTCCCTCCCCAATGGGGCCATGGAGAAACCGGAAGGCAGACAGAAGGCTGAGTCAGAGAACTGACACAAAGAGGCCATCTGAGGGCGTCTTCTATTCTTTTTTCGGCGGTGATGGGGCACACCTGGCAGTGCTCAGGGCTTACTCCTGGCTCTGTGCTCAGAGATCACTCCTGGTGGTGCTTGGGAGACCATACGAGGTGCCAGATACCAAACCAGGGTCAGCTGCATGCATGCAAGGCAATTAATTGCCCTGCCCGATGTCCTGTCTCTCCAGACCAGAGTGTGACTGTCCAAATTCCCTCCCTCAATAACAAATGTCCCAAAACTCAGTGGCTTGAATCAGTCATTTTCATGAGAGGTTCATGGACTCTGGGGAATTCAGCACGGCTCTGCTGGAAGATTCCTCAGTTGCTGGTAGTGATGATTGGGGTCACACAGGTATTCAGGGGTCAAGTGCATTGGCAGAGAGGACCCCCCTCCCCCAGGATTTGTCTGTGCCCAAGAAGACTGGGGTAGCTGCCCACATGAGTCTGTGTGGCCTCCCCGTGTGCCAAGTGCTTCCTTCTAGCATGGCGCTCCAGAGTAACCGACCCACGCGGCTTCCTCAGCACCAGCACGAGTGTCTGGTCTCCTCTCCACTGAGTTCTGATCTTATTTTTTTGTTTGTTTGTTTGGGGATCCACACCTGGCAGTCTTCAGGATTCCCTCCTGACTCAGTGCTCAGGGTTCACTCCTGATGGAGCTCGGGGGTCAATATGGGGTGCCAAGTTTCGAACCAAGGTCGCTCACGTGCAGAGCAGATGCCCTACCTGCTATACTCTCTCTCTTCCGGCCCTGATTGGTTACTCTCAAGACAGCTGAGTTCACAGTGGTGTTGAGGTGGGGGTGAATATTCTAGAATCAGAGTCCTAATTTACCTTGGCCTTTTCAGATTAGCTTCTTTCCCCTGGAACGCATTTGTTTCCTCTGGGTCCTTTCTTTCGGCTTTGGTTGTTGTTTGGGAACCACACCTAGTCGTGCTCAGAGGTGACTCCTGTTGGTGCTGGGGGAGTATGGGGGTGCCTTGGCCTGAATCCAGGCCTCCGGTGCAAAGCCTGCCACTCAGCTTCTAGGACCATCTGCCCAGCCCTCTCGGTTCTTTCTGTCCCACCGTCTTCAGGGGGCCTGGAGTGATACGACAGCGGGGAGGGAGTTTGTTTTGCACACGGCCAATCCATGTTCGATCCCCACCACCCTATATGGTTCCCCCAAGCACTGCCAGGAATGATCCCTAAGTGCAGAGTCAGGAGTAACCCCTGAGCATCACTGGATATCGCCTCCAAAACAAACAACAGCAGCAACCAAAACCATCTCGCAGGGTCACATGGTTTGTCCATTCGCCTGCAGGCGTGACCCAGGCAAGGCTGAGCCAGACAGATAGCACAGGAGGAAGGCGCTTGCCTTGGTACACAGCTGACCCCATTTTGAATCGCTGGCACAGCCAGGCCTCACTCCTGAGCACAGAGCCAAGAAAAGACCCTGAGCGGAGCTGGAGCGATAGCACAGCGGGGAGGGCGTTTGTCTTGCACGCGGCCAACCCAGGTTCGATTCCCAGCATCCCATATGGTCCCCTGAGCACCGCCAGGAGTAATTCCTGAGCGCAGAGCCAGGAGTAACCCCTGTGCATTGCCGGGTGTGACCCAAAAAGCCAAAAAAAAAAAAAAAAGAAAGAAAAGAAAAGCCCCTGAGCACCACTGGGTATGCCCCCCAAAACAAAGAAACAGTGAGGTCCCTGTGAGTCCAGGGGGAGGGGGCAGAGATGACCCCAGGCACGCTCAGGGGGACCATAGACAGGGTTGGGAGTCACACCAGGGTCTGCCTCATGCCAGGCAAGTTCCTTAACCCCTATACAGTCTCTTCAGTCCGTGTTTTGGTGTTTTGGGGAGTCCACACCCAAGCACTACTTGGGGGGGCGTGACCATGGGAGAGGGCCTCTTCCTGCTGCCCTGCACACCTCTCTTACTTCACTGCCAGTGACGATCTGCCCCGCCCGCCCAGGTCTGGAAGGCACTGAGGGGACAGGTGGGGGCAGCAGTGCAGTCTGGAAACAAAAGGACCAAGAGACCAGACACCCTCCCTCACACCCTGCCCCGGCAACTTCTCTGGCCCCTCTTCCTCCTTGAGGGACAGGAGCGTGGTCAGTACAAGGGCTTCTGGCGGGTTGCCAGCTCACACACTGCGCCCTGTGGGACAGGATCCCAGGATCCGCTGCCTTCCATGCCTGGAGAGATCTTATCTGCCTGTCTGGTGGGTGGAGAATGGCAGCCGCTTTCAATGGCAGGAAATGGGATGGAGACACCATTTCACGCCTGGCCTCCCCAGCGGGCCCCAGTTTGAAGTCTGAAAATGCTGCTTGTTGGTGGAGATGAGACAGCAGGGAGCAGCCACAGACAGGG